CCCGCCGTCCACAACTTATTACACACACACTCATACACACACGCCCAACACACTCACACACACTCCGCACTCCAGACATGTCCATTGATGCTCTGTTGCTCTCTCCAAAATGTTGCTGAGGGTCCTTCCACTAATTGTGCCAGTGCACATCTGGTTGGACATTCTTCTGTTCTTTCCTGCAAGGGTGGCAGATTTTCCGCTTCCTATTTGTATTCCCAAAAGCATCATCCTCTCCACGGCAGTCGCTGGCTCTGCCTCCCTATCTTCTTCCTCAATCAGCTGGTGAGAGATACATTTCAGGATCTCGACCCTATCTGGTTGAACCGTATTGTCAACTGTCGGCTTTTTCATTTCCCCTAACACCTGCATGGTCAGGGCAGAAAATCCATGTTAGCGATCGTATAGAGGCGTTGCTTCGATAGCTTGAATCCATTCTGTTCTCAGGAAACATTTTTTGATCCTTCTGAAGGCACACATGGAATCAGTGATAAGATCAGCTTGGATTGTGTGGGGGCGATCGTGGGTCATCCTATCAAGTGCTTTCGTGATGGCTTCAATTTCCATTTGCATACTTGATGTAGCCCTGCTGCAGGCTCCAGATGCACTGTGTATGATTTTATTGTTGGCGAATGCAACAAATCCCCATCCACTTCGCTGGCTATCTCTTTTCACTGAACCATCTGTATAAATTACAGGATCCCCTGCTTTTGAGTTTGTGTCAACGATCTCATTGATATCACTCAGGTTGATGGAAGCCGCAACATTTCTTCTTCATTGACAAGATCAGTCAATCGCCTTCAGCCCCTCGATTGTGGATAAGCTGTTTGAATGTGGTTTGGACAGGCTTTTACTTTTAGTCTTATCTCTCCTTTCCTTTTATACTAAAAAAGAGAAACAGTCCTCAACAGTCTATGAAAATAAAAATATAGCAGATGCTTCCCCAAAAAACAAACCAGGCGTAGCCCAAGATAATTAAATAACTACATCAGTTAGGCCGATAGTGATCATAGCAATTAACACTGGTCTGTTATGGGAACGTGTAAGGTACTAAATTTGACTAAAGAGCGGTTAGGTCACAAAAAGTGCCCTCAAACTTTTTAGGAACAGTGAAACCAATGCAAAACAGAACAAAAGTTATTTTTTTCTTCTTGTGCTATGTTTACAATAAAAACATGTACATATGATATTTTTTGTCAGTACCGTAATCATAAATTAATTAATTTTTTTTCATCCCCAAAATTTCTGACAAAGAGGTCAAGGTCTTGATCTGTTATATCAGTAGACTTATATTATTTCTACTTATCTCAGTCAGGACTGCTGTATATATAATATTTGCATAATTGCCCATATAGTTTGATGGTGATGTTCGCAAGGACACTCAAGCTCAGATGTCATCGATGTACATAATAGTTTTCACTGTCGTCCACATACGCTCAGCTCTCTTTAATTAACTGTAGTGACTTTTATTGCATCTCTCCCTAGCTCTACCATCAAATGAACTTATCTGTACTTCCAAATTAATCTTGGTTTTGAATATTCTGCCCCTTGAATGTTATCATTGTGAGGACATTGATTAGCATATCAAGTAGTATTGTATGTACATGCTGATAGTATTGTATTCATAGTGATAACAATGCTTTGAGTGATAAAGTTTATGTTGTAGCCTTCTGCGTAGAGCTGTTGGCCTTTGATTGGAGGTCACCCAAGCTAGACAAATTAACTGTGCCGAGTGTCACTGTTGAATGGAATGCATAATATATGCAGTCAAGTTTTTTACTTTTATTCATTCTCTGAACATGACATGCCTGGTGCTGGCACCCAAACCAGGTGTGGCGTCATGGCTCAAATGGTATCATTGATCATGCTGGGCTATTGGTGCTTTTGCTAGCCTGGTTTGAGTCCCCAAAAGATTGTTTGAACTCGTGTTGTGAAAAGAGTTCAAGGCTCACCACCCGCTTCTCTGGGTCTCAATATTTTTAGATAGTTATTGAAACCAAACTTATCAGTGCTCATGATAATCTAATCGAGTTCACTTTCTTTTTCTTTTTTAAAGGATTTGTTTAAATTACTATTAGTTATCATATCTTTTACAGTTATGAAAAAAATGTGTCTACTGGAAAAGCAGCCAGATATATCATGCCTGTTGTGTTCTTTTTTTCTTCGAAGTAGAAGGATGTTTTCACTTACTGGTCCTTTTATTGCTATTTATATAATCTCTTTAAGACCATGCTATAGGCCTACACAGTCAGCAGATTTTCCATTTCCTTTTCACCACACCAGCCTTTACTTTTTTTTTTTCAAAATGATTTTGAAAAATCTTTTAAAGAGGAAAGTTTGCACATGTTCATATTTGCACAGTAGGATTATGCTGCTTTTAGACCATGCAAAAGTGGAAATAAAATGTGTGTTGTACTCAATTTTCTTTTAGAATCTGTGATGGAAGTATGTAATTTGTTATTTGGGGCATCCGCTGAATACATTGAAGTACCTTAATCTATATAAAAATGCTGAGTATACTAGAACGGAAATACAAGGTCTCAACGACAGGTGAAACCAATGATTATAAATACTATGATAATGCAATGGGGCGAAAAGCGTGCGCGGTCACGAAACTCCCGGGGGGAATGTCTGCGCGTCAACCGCTGGCCTCCTTATCTGCGGCGCACCTGTTACGAGTATTTCAGATCGTTGTTCCATTGTTCTGCCTGGTTAGTACACATGGTATTGTTTTCATGTATGCATCGAAGACGAGTTTTGTGATTGTGATTATCTGGAATTTCTGTTTTCTTATCATTCTTTGCTTAGTTCAAACGCCCTCATATTCTGTAACTGGTTGTTCTTTTGCAGTGAGTCCCTTCATCTTAAAATGTCAAAAAACATTCAATTTTTTGGATGAGAGAGCATCAGAGAGTCTATAACAATGGAAACGCGATATCCTTGTATAGTAAATCTACTCAACCCACACAATGCAGAAACACTTTTGACAGTGAGTTGTGACAGTGCTAGGAACATACAAACTCAAAATGAAGCTATCGTGTCTGATGCCGTTGCCTCCGCCTCTGGCCTTTCTACAACCAAATCCACTGCCAAAATGAAGAAACATCGAGTCCAACATTGCGCTGCTATCAACTGCAAAAACACACCGCTTTGACAACCCAGATATGTCTTTCTTTAGATTTCCAAAGGAGGAAGAAAGGTGTAGACGATGGGTGATTAACACAAGAAGGCAAGACATCCTTCACAAATCCGCTGCGCAGCTCAACAGTGGATCTGTGTTATGTGCCAATCATTTTGAAGACAGTCAGTTTACATCAAAGAAAAAGACTCGCTTGAAACCTTTAAAGGCTGTTCCTACCAATTTTGATGTTCCGAATCCTCCAGAAAAGGTGACATCTTTGAGAAAACCACCAAAGTTTAGACCTTGTCTGACCAAGTTGAAGAAAAAGCTTCTTTCCCCTGCATCGAGTCGTCAAGACTCAAATATGAATGATTCACGTGAACCTGTTGAAAACGAAGAGCAATCTCAATCTGAACGAATCAGAATTCTTACAAGGAAGTTGAACAGACAGAGAATGCGGATAAAACGACTGCAAAGAAAATCTTCGAACAAGTTGACTAAATCGAAGAAAGAAGTGCATTACATAAAAGAAGTGACGTCTAGATATCTAAACAAAGATGCTCACGCTTTTTTCTGCAAGCAATTAGATCTGTCCATATGCAAAGGTAAACGATGGACTGTACGAGACAAGAGCTATGCATTGTCCCTTTATCACGCTTCACCAAAGGCCTACAGAATGCTACAGAAACATTTGTTTGTGCCTTCTGTGGACACCCTTAGGAGAGTCATGAGGAGAATTGAAATATATCCAGGCTTCCCTCACAAACTCCTAGAAGCCTTCAAGTTGAAAGTTAGTTGCATGGAAGAAAAGAACAAGCTCTGTGTCCTTCTCTTTGATGAAATAGCACTCAAGCAGTCATTAAACTATAATGTCGAGAGAGACTACATCGAGGGTCTGGAAGACCTAGGAGATCCATCTCTCAGCTCCAGAGATCAACCTGCATCCTCAGCAACCGTTTTCATGGCAAGAGGGTTGATTGGCCAATGGAAGCAACCTTTTGGTTATGCCCTAAATTCTTCGGCAATCAAGCATGCTGACCTGAAGGTGCTTTTGTTAGAGGCTATTAAAAAGCTTAAATATGTTGGTTTGAAAGTCAAAGCAGTTGTGTGTGACCAAGGCCCAAACAACCAGACAGTTTTTAGAAAACTAGGTGTCACCCCTGAAAAGCCTTTTTTTCATCACGAGGATGATAAAATCACAGTCCTCTTTGATCCTCCACACTTGATCAAGAATATTAGAAACAATTTGATCAACCACAATTTCTATACCCATAATGGTATTGCGAGCTGGGCAGTTATTAAAAATTTTTATGAAAAAGACAGTGCCTTGGGTTCATTCAGGATGGCACCCAAGTTAACCAAGAAACATGTCTGTGTGTCAAGTTTTGGACGTCAAAGGGTTTGTTTGGCTGTGCAAGTGCTCAGTCACAGTGTATCAAAGGCAGTCGGGACACTGTGTAAACTTGGAATTAATCCTTTGTCTGACATGGCTACATCTGTTTTCTGTGATGTCTTTGACAAACTTTTCAACGTTTTCAACGGGTCACTTGTGTCATCCTCTGCCGAATATCGCAACCCAATCACAACTACATCACAGCATCATGAATTTTTGCAGCAGACACTTCTATGGTTAAAAGATCTGAAGTTTGGCCCAGAGGACAAAAAGAAAGATGCAAGATTATTACCATGTGTCAGCGGGTGGATCCACAACATCACTGCTTTGCAAAGTCTTGTGGCAGACGTTGTGAACGTAGAGGGAGTCGATTACTTAATTACAAATCGGTGCAATCAAGATGCACTTGAAAATCTGTTCTCAGTCATCAGAGGAAAAGGTGGACATCATGACAATCCAGATCCCCAGCAATTCCGTTTTCGTTTGAGACAGATAATGGTGGATAAAATTATGGTCGCATCGCCTTCAAGCAATTGCAAGGACGATGTGGATAGCTTTTTGATTAATCTAACAAGTAAATGTAGCCAAACAACAATTGCAATTTCGGCCGACCTTGATAATGAACAGAGGCACATTGTTAATTTAGTTAAGTCTTGCAATATTAAAGACGTAATGCACTTAGAAAATGCTATTTCCTACGTGAGTGGATACATTTTAAAGAAACTTTACGATGTGGTCTGCAAGGACTGCATAGGGAAATTAGAAGATTTCTCATCTTCCCATGCACCGCATCTGACACTCATCAATCAGAAACAGTTTGAACATTGTCGTCACGGTGGCTTGAAAAGTCCCAGTTTCAAACTTGTGGAAGTTGTTGGTTTGTTTGAGGCTGTCTTTCAAACACATTTTAAACATTTGATGAACAGGGCACACATTAGACAGAATCTGAAATTGAAAATGCTCCAGGAGCCAAACGTAACTGAAATCAAAGGTGATTCCTGCAAATGCCAGACAGTGGACTATGCAGTTAATGTATTTATTAGCGTCAGACTGCACCATGAACGTAATACAAGAAATGAAGCCATTCAGCAGGAAAAGAACAAAAAGAACAGAAAGTTTATTAAAGTTTCTCACCAATAGCCTTTCATGCTACAAGTGATAGCTTTGGCTGTGCCTGATTTTGATGAAGTGATAAAGGTATGTTGTGAATATTATTTGCCTGTTTCAAACATGTTGTGTTATTTGTTTGTTTGCTTGTTTTTGGTTTGTTGTTGTTGTTTTTTTTTCTTTTTTGGTCTGTTTTCTTTTTCTTATTTATTCTTTGAACACTACCTACTGCCTATGGTACTAACGGCATTCAGAGTACACTCTAGACCTTAGTTAAGATCAAATGTTGCATGAACTTTAACATTATATTATTATTATGTTTATGATCTTTGCCTTCGTTTTGATAATAATTCTTTAAATCCAGTTCTTACGGATAATAGTTTATTATGCAGGACATGTCTTGTGCTACTAATATAAATGTTTGAGTTGATCCCCTACAACTAGTCACTTGTAATAGGGCCAACTGGTCACCCCACAGCTCGTGTCATATAGTAACACTTCGTGTGTTGTATGAGCTCATTAATGCGCAGAGCAACGCGCGCAGTCGCTGACCTCGATTCTCCGATAGCGAACAAAGGCCGAAGAAGGATTGCACCGTCTCGGTATTTACGGTCTCTGGGTGAAACTATGGTCTTCTGTTCACTCACTATCACCAAGAAAGATTAGATCAATGACCATGATTTTCTTTCCTTTGACTCCAACAAAAAGCCTAATGCTGAATAACAAAAATTCATTGTGTATCATTCGTAAAAACTCTTTATAGTATAAATCTTTTAAAAGGACAAACCTGAAATTGAAGTAACACCGGCAAAGAGTGCAGGCTACTTTCTGTTATCTCATGTAACCTACATTTTGATAGGGAAAAACTGTTTTTGTTTGCAGAGCGAGCTCATCCCTTGTCCTAATAGTAGACTACAAGGTTGTTCCTAATGTCATCGAGATATTTCTGGTGTTATCTCTGAATAATTAGGCCTATTGGATAATCAGATCACACAAGCTTTTCCGCTCTGGAGCTGAGCCCCAGTTTTGTTTACTTTATTTTTCGTACTTGTAGATTAATGACTTTACAAATTTCGTTAACATTAGTGTTTTGTTATAGAATAGGTGCTTTGTTTATTTTATTTTTCTTTCTTGCAGATTAATGACTCAGGAAATGTTGTAAATATTATTATAGAATGGATGCTGAGCCTTTCTTTGTTCTGTTGTAATGTTACAACAGTCAGAAACTTGTTTGATCGACTATAACAATTTTAATTTCTTGGATCACGATTGCAATCTCTGATTCCATAGGCCTATATGATGCATGCTCTTATGACCTTATGCAATTGCGAGTGTCATAAAACACATACCAAAAAAATATATGTATATGAAACAATGAAAATAAGTGAAACTGATAATGATATGGACATTCTACCTCATGGCATCGCAGAAGGGCTACAACTCTGCGGCTGCTAGATTGAAAGGAATAGCAACACTAAAACTTGAGCAATTGGATGAATGGCAAGGAATATATTATGTACAACTTCAATGTAATATTCTGTCTTTTATTATGTGTCACATATATAAAGAATGCTGAGTTTATTTGAGTCAATGGCCATTGTTGTCAATTTCTGTTTCAGAACTGGCTGTTGAAAAATAAGGAGACATCACTAATGCTTACAGCTGTGTTGACGTCATCATAGACTGTCGGAGTCATGAAAGGAAAGACATATAAGAATAAAGATCTGAACTTCTGATAGTTTTATTCATGGTTGTTGGCGGAGGGAGGACACTCTGCAGTCATGGACGGAGAGTCAGGTCTACGTCAGCCGCTGCTGGGCAGTATCGCCGAGGAAATAAGTGAGTCAGAGGGCGCTGCCAATGGTGGTGACCGTGGCAGTTTGAAGCCTTCGGATGTTGAGACTGACAGACCAAGCAGCTCAGTTAACACTGCGGGTGAGTTCATGGGAGCTATGGTCGTTCTTTTCTTGAAAATATTAGAGTTTCTGAATGGAATGTTCTAGACTTCTTTGTATAGCAGTAGATGCCTTTTTTGTATGCAATGTCAGCCTTTCATTTTTTTTTTTCATATGATCCTTTAAGTTTTAAAATCATTTGACATCAAGTCGACATTTCTATCGTTCAAACAGACAGAGGAAATCCAAAGTTGATGAAGGCATATGTCTGGATGTTAGAAAATTCAAAGTTATTAAAAAACAGAATTTTTCTGTTAAAAAAAGATTACTTTTTGAAGAAAATGTAATGTTGTTTTATTGATCTTTCACCTCTTGTCCTTGTATCCCCTCCTCCTCCACATCCTCCTCTTTTTCTTTTTCTCGTTCTTGTTCTTGTTCTTGCTCACCTGCTCCTCTTCCTTCTCTACACCCCTCCCTCCTCCTCTTCATCTTCCTCCTCTTCCTCCCCTGACCACCTTTGCGTCCACGGCAGGATCAGTGAACATATACCACCTGTTTCCAACATGGTGAGTATATGTAGTTATTATTCACTAAAATTGTTAACCCGAAGTTGGTGTTCAGTTCTAAAGTTCAACGACTTCATGAATGCGTTGACAGGGTTGGCACAACGGGTGAGGAAACTTGGCTTCGTGGGTGTGGAAAAGGGGGGGGGGGG